TGCTTTTTAAAAGATTTTTTAACCAACTTTGGGAAATGTGCGGCCGCAGCGTTCCAATCGGCTCAGTGGAAGACCTTTTCGCTGAAGCCTCAGTGAAAACCGTAGTGGTTTATAATTTCTTCCTCGTGAATTACTTCCAAAAAGATATGGTAAGAGAGATATGATCCAAGTAATTGGGGTGCGGGTTTGAACTGACGAGCCTTGTGTCAGGTTCTCTACTGGCTCCACGATGAATTCCAAACCAAGTGGTTCCATTATTGCTTCGTACCCTCGTACGGAGTCTAAACTTGTCGTCGAATTGAACGTTATCAAATAATTGTGGGGCAGTTTATCCTCATCTCTCCACGGATAACTACACTCATTTAGGTAAAGGTCCCGTCAATGTGGACACAGTACTTTCGCTAAACACATTCCCGTTGTATTCGGCCACAACATTTACATTAAAGACATTGTAAAGCGAATAAAACAAGTCTGTGTCTACGTTAAAATCACAGATGACTGGATATTTCTTTATGCCTCCACCATTGTAACATAGCTTGTAAAACCATCCTTTCTNTGTGAAACGTCCTTTAAACTGCAAGCAAGTAAACAGCCAGTAAGGAACCAAGGATACAAAGAGAAGATTAACATACCTCTTCAACCATCCTTTTCAGTTAGTCACGAAAGGCTCTAGAGCAAGCTTTTCAGGGTCAACCAGTGAACTAAGCAGGTTGTCTCTAAAATGGAGATGTTCAGACGACAGCGGTCTACCCGCTTGTGTAGACTAGAGCGCACCTGGAGCAGAATAACACATAAAAGCAGAGAGAACTTAGAGGTAAAGGCACTCTTGCTTCCGCGCAACGCCATCTCTAATTCCGCTGCTCCTCGTGTTATCGCAGGGAAGAATTATCTGGGCTAAATACCGTGCGTCCAGTTTAGCACAACGGATGGCGGGGACGATTAGGCTGACGGTGCAGAACAATGGGATCTGTCCGAACCTGTATGTTAGCTCCTGTCTTATTAATAATAAGCAGATCAGCAGGCACGCAAAATCTCTCTTCCGCATATGCTAAATAACGTTACTTTTGAATAATTCTGCACTACTTACACGCCAGTAAGATATTTCAAGTGTGTGAACCGATAAACAGTGCGAGAAATCGTTCGGCAGTCCATTTTTCATTAACCCCTCAACAAGTTCAAAAGACACTGATTAATATTTACGGCCTAAAAATACCCGATGCATTGACTGGCGTCAAATATGGCCCTTAACACGACAGCACATGGCGAATTGTGGCAGACTGTAGTTGTGAAAGCTAAAAGGTTTTGCAGGTATTTTGATTTTACTTCTGCTCAGTGGGAAGTGTTGTTCTCCTCTGTCAGACTGGCGTTCGTCCTACCGCTAGGCGTCTTTTTTTAACTCGTAAAGATGTTTTAGCATAAGGAGACTATTTATACAATGCCTTCGTCTTCATACCAAAATGCCGCAGTTTATATTACTCCAGGCAAGCACTTGTCCCTATATTGATAAATCCCGGCCCAGATTACGTGTTCTGAACACGCTGCCTGTGAATCTAGCACTCATCGTAATATTCCGCTAGCCATGCCCCAGGTAAAAAGCCCCTCATTCCAGGAATTCCGTCTTCTAACTGATTGTTTGACCAAACTGGCATTTGCTTTTTAAAAGATTTTTTAACCAACTGTGCGGCCGCAGCGTTCCAATCCGCTCAGTGGAAGACCTGTTCGCTGAAGCCTCAATGAAAACCGTAGTAGTTTATAATTTCATCCTCGTGAATTACTTCCAAAAAGACATGGTAAGAGAGATATGATCCAAGTACTTGGAATGTGGGTTCGGACTGATGAGTCTTGTGTCAGGTTCTCTACTGTCTTTACGATGAATTCCAAACCAAGTGGATCCATTATTACTTCTTACCCCCGTACGTAGTCTAAACTTGTAGGCGAATTGAACGTTATCAAATAATTGTGGGGCAGTTTATCCTCATCTTTCCACGGGGCATCAACAAATTCCCTCTAAGCTCCAGACCAGACATACCGCAGTGAAGACAGATGCATTATTGCCGTGAGCATATTGTTGTACAAATATTGAGATGATGCATATTTTATTAATCCCAAAGGGGGATGAAAGTGATAAAATTGTGCACAAACACCAAGGAATTCTGAGACTGAAATTCTCGTCTGCATTGGTGGTGGTGCCTTCCAATTAGCCATGGTTACCTCTTAATACTATCGCAACTCAATCAAATATGAGCAAATCACGTGCTGCTTGAATGATTGGTGCTTGAAAGGTACGAAATGCTTTATAAGTGTTCAACATGCATCCGCTAGTTCTATTGCTTCAACAAAATCCAAATGAGGACCTCTGTTACCGTATTGGTGTTCATTTCTCTATCATTGCGTAAGCTGAACTTAGTATCTAGGCTATCTAATGCACCGATAAATAATTCCGATTGATCTTCATCATTTATATGTTTTTTGCAACTTAAGAGAGTGGGAATGCACAACAGGCTTTTACCTGCTACACTTGCACGGACTGTCAACTTCCGATCGATGAGAACACAGCAAAATCCGGATCGACTTGTGGGGCGTGTAAGGTGAGTAATGGATCTGTGAATGGCTAGAATCCTGCATATTTTAATAGCAACTCACTTTTTCACGCAATCAATGCTTTAGCTTGACGATATCACCTCGATTGGTGATTAGACGTTTGCAGTTCAACTGCCAAGCTCGGCGAACAGACCAACAATCAAGCAGCGCATTCGAGCTACCTACCACAAACAACATTGCTAGCATGAAGTTCGTCGAAATTTTTGAGTTTTACCGTGGATGAAATCAAGGGGAGCAACACTTGTGTTGTGATGCTTTATACCTACATTCCACAACATTGCTAGCATGAAGTTCGTCGAAATTTTTGAGTTTTACCGTGGATGAAATCAAGGGGAGCAACACTTGTGTTGTCTCTGATGCTTTATCGATTTCCCGGCTATACAGAATCAAGGTAGAAACAACCAGATTCGCTTGAGGCGAATCTGGCGAGAACCAGCTGGAACCCTAGTTCGCCGTATTTTGCTACAGTGAAACATTGAGAATATTGCATGTTTGCTACCCGTCATAACGGGTAATTAACAAACGAAAAGAAGGGGGGAATGCAAGGCCGATGGAATCCGATTGCTACCAGTGATAGTGTTTGGTTTACACTCGGAGGACCAAAATCTTAAAACGAGCTTCCGTTCTGCGTTTCTGGGTGCTTGATGTGTCCAAGATGCACTGATTACTGGCAAGAGCAGGGTGGTATGAGGCAATGGGCTTGAAACATTGGAAAAACTGACCACACTGAAAACCACAAAAATACCCTTCACGTTTCTGATAAATAAGGTTGGAACATGATTATTGCTCCCTCAGTGATGATCAGGGGCACAACGACTTTCAGGAAATCTGTTTCTTGTGCATAAACTATTACCTTATGCTCTATTTTCCACTTCAGCACCTTAGATTCTTTGCACCCTCCTGCTCTCGTATAGTTTTGTGATGAAATTCGATCCTGCGTCACATATGACGTTATCTCAAACTCGGAGCATGTAGAAAGCCCGCAGGCTGCCAGCCATAATTTGTTCAAAACAAATGTTGACACCTTTCATCATTCCGTGTGGTACATGATACCTCCTGCTTGGGAAGGCTTCCTGTAGGTCGCAAAAAACGATCCTGTGGGGCAAAAGTGCTCTTCAGTTCTAATTTGGTTTCCCCGCTAGCGCCGTCCATTTCTGACTCAGATATTGCTTACTCTCCAACACTCCACGTGGAGTTCTGCAGCTAAAACAATATAACTATGGTGATTACCGTATAATGCATTGTTGGAATATATGAAATTTTAAAGATTCGTCACCCTTCACTCTCTTTCCGACGGTCTTCACTCACGACAATTTATTTAGTTTGTCTAATCCCATGCTGGCGAAATTGCGTGCAGTACTTCCCATATGAGTCCCGAACAGGGAAAAATCATCAAAAATGTGTTGAACCACATCTTCAGAGGCATATTTTCCTATATTCTTGTCGTGTATTCAGAGGCTACTCGTGATATCCCAACTATTATATCATTGCATTTTTGAACTTCTTCATTCCTGTTTCGCTTACATGAATGTGCACGCAGACCAGCCACACTGCTTTGCGGTCTCTCTAAATCACATCAAAACAAATATTGGCATTAGCTAAACTGTGCAGAAACGTTTTGAAGTTATTAATACTGACAGATACTCATTTACTGCGTAGATTTTGCGCACATTTACTATCAATATGGTTAAGCACTTTTATCGATCCATCCATCCATCTTCCATTCTTGCCAAATCTGGAAAATATCTGCCATCAAAATTTGCCAGAGCACTCCAGGCATGAGTAAACAGTTTCACGTACATTAAACAATCGTCACGTAAAATCAAGCTACCTGGAACTTCGGGAATTTCGGTGGGCACTTTTCAGCATAACATGGCATCTCTGATTACGCAAATTTCTCGAGGTCCCACAAAAATCCCTGTAGCAGGACGTCTTGAAAGCGATCAGACTACTAGAATGTGAACGGTGTTTTATTATACATATAAATATATATATATACAACTGTCTTGGGGAAAACGCTATAACTGCTCTCACCTACATGTCGTCCGAGGCATTTGTAAGACATTTGTGAAGGGCTTTGAAATCGGCGTGACTCAAGATATTAGTCAAAAATTTACTTCTCTTTCAGTTTAGGAAGGAATATGCTACACGATCGAGTTTAAGTTAAAGTATGGGTGGCATGCAGAAAGAATTTACTGTGTATTATTTCTTCAGCGTCAACCAATGCTGCTCTGAGATTATTCCTAAAAATTATTTTAAGAAAAAAGCGAGAAACTGATCAGATTTGCGTGAAGGTTAATGGACTCTCAGGAAATTACGGTGAGCGCAAATAACGAACCGCAATAGTCCCAATTCATTGTCATGTCCACATGCATGATTTTTTCCCGCGCCTGCTGTCTTGGTTGTATGTCCTGGATTTAAAACTGACTTAATTGTAACCAGGGTTAACGACCACACCGTACCTCCGATAACGACGAAAGTCAATTAAACTAAATGCACAGTATATGTAAGTGTCGAATTTCTCCAAAACATAGAGCCATAAACCTGAGAGGATGGGAGTGGTGAGGTTTTGGTTTCTGCTGCAGATTATTTCGGCAGCCGGCACCATTGAAATGAAGTGTCGATTCAATTACAGCTGCTGAACAATACGACAAATGCTTCTTCGCGTCTAATTAAAACCGTGTGCGTCATCTGGCGCCCCAAGGCGGTACTCAATCGACCTGTCTGCCTCTTTACTCCTGAATGGTGAACAAAACCTAGTTGCCACCACACGACCACCAATACTATCGTCATTCAATGCCTTCAAGCACCTGATTTTGGGTACTTATACTGAAAACAGTTCCCAAACACTTCATCCTTACACGACCACCAATACTATCGTCATTCAATATCTTCAAGCTGATTTTGGGTACTTATACTGAAACCAGTTCCCAAACACTTCATCCTCGGTGGCTTATAAGCACGAATCTTAGTAGCATTTTATCTCGAACTCAAACAATCGGTGTCAGATTTTGTGCGTGGGGATTTATTTTTACATTTGGTCCCTGACAGTGTTGGGCGACGTACGCAGTTGTTCCGGTAACTTCCTGCCTTTATATGGCAATACGGATTTAAACATTTCAAGTATTACTCCATTTCTCGACACCAAGTTACATGCACGTAAGCAATTTTTGGACATTTATGATGGTGACCAAGTGCACATGGTCTAATTAAGCCAGTGGCGCGTTTGTATAAAACCCTAAAAATTTTAGTAATCGAAAATGTCAATTATTTCAATGCTCTGGCTGATGGCAGGGTTGTGAGCTTCAACAGCATTATTGACAAGGGCGAAGGCCATCAAGAAAATTTGTTTGTTGTGGTCAGGTCCGGCCTTGAACATCCGCGTGAAATAACTGTCAACTTAATTCATTTTTAGATGATATTCAGTTTCACTGGCAGCAGAACACCCAGCAACATCACCGCCACTTGCATCACTATGAACGGTAGCCCTTCTGCTACAGAATGCGCGTCAGATTATAAGAAGACACAGACGGGTGCAGAAGTAATGGCATGCTGTAAAACTGCAAACTGCAACGCTCTACCTGGCGTCGGGTTGAAGATGGTGCCCAACTCTTTTATAGTTTATTTCTTTTCTGTGTGTATACGCAAGTTCATGTATTTCTAAAAAATGCCAATTAGAGCTCGGCCGTTAGGCGTCCGAGAACTTGGTTTGTGAATCATATGCTTCTTGTTATATCAATAAATCGGTCACATACATCTTTAGCTCAGTTTATCTTGCAACTGAAGCACCTTGGGACACTTTCAAGGAATAAATGATCATGTCTACAGCGCCTAATCAAAATTAGTCCTCCATTATCGTTTGAGTGGTTGCTGATTTCCCCTGATAACTTGGAACTTTCGTTGGAGTGTATTCATTAGTTAGAGTCCGCTGATTTCATAAGCACAAAGAAATAAATCATCCTTCGTTGTTAATATACAACTTTCAATTTAACTCATCTTGGAAGTAAATAATTTCATAACCGCCAAGCAAAATAAGTCTGGGAGGAAACTAACGCAGTGCCGTTCGCCGGAGACATTTCCAGAAGCGCTGTTACCCCTTTAATCCCATGATGACTAGCTGGGTCAGTCACTTGCATAGTAACATCAGATTAAATGTCCAATGAGGGACGAGTTAGCGTGGTTCACTCAAGTCCAGACGAAATGCAGCCTTTGGAAACGTCTGATTAGCGTTAGGTTGGCGCTAGAACCTCCTATTTCATTCCCAACCATGATGTGAATTAGTCGCTAGTAACATAAGCCGCAATCGAGGACCCGATCACTCGCATGTACCAGGTACTCCGAGACCCGATGCTTAGGTGCCACATAGTTAAAGAGTAATTTGGTGATATTCGGTTTCATCCTACCCCTGGAACTGAATGAGGAGATTAACCCCCCCCCCACGGAGGACGATTACACTTTGCTCCCACTGACACAAAGTCGATGCTTGAACTCGTGATGCGCGTGTGATGCCACCTTGCTCCGTCCAATTTTTAGTCCATCACGAGTGTTAGCACAAAATGTATACCAGTTTTAGTAACGGAAATCCACCCGTTAACAGCAGTCGTCAGGTTGTTAGATTCAAGATCCGATCGCGAGCACTCCCGTCACTTTCACCACCCTTCCTTGCAGACGTGGAGCTAAACCTCATTATATATAACTGAGCGTTGTGAAATCATCCATGCTTTATGTGCAGTGCATCTGCGTACGTGCCTGGCGGTAACTGACCGCCTCCTTGATCCATCTTCATAAGGCACCACCGTCTCTAGTTGCAACGGACAGAAAAACCACCAATTGGATCATACACTACATTTGCCATATCGCGTGGCGCAGCAGCCTAGTGATTTCCGCATCATTCTCATGACCTGCTCCTCATAGATAACCCTGCATAGCTCGATGGCTTCGTTCACAGTAACAATGGAGACCGATTTTCCCCACTTGCTACAAACATCCACCAACCGAGCAGCTTCCATAAATTCCTTCATAAATTTGCAAAACAAAATCAAGCGGAATTACGCTCAAATGTACCCACTTCTGATTTTGTTAGGCTGCTAGCGCACGCAAGTATGCGGTGATTGGGGCAAACGCCATTAGACTAGCGTGTCACAGCACAAACCTTTCTGGGAGCATATTTAGTACACTGATACTTTGTGAGGTGCGAAAATTCTGCCTCTCTGTCGGTGAGTTTTGCAGATCTGCCCTTCAGACAAGAAACTATGTTCCTGTAGAAAAAATCCGGTATTCTGATGTCTCGAAAAATAACACTAATAAGGTCAGATCCAATTTCTGTCGCTTTCGCTTCCAGCTGAGCCTGGGCCTCCTTCTATCTCAGATCGCAAGCCCGTAACCTTGTCCACATATATAGCTTTTGGTACTGAATACTGAATACTGAAATCGTCAACAGGTTTCTGTGGTGCAAAGATCCACCAATAACACTGTGAAAATTCGGACACTACTGAATAAGGCTTTCGTCAACTCCAAGTTATTTTTTGAAGTGAAAAGGAACGGACAGCATTTGCGCACGTAGAGGAATGCCCTCATCCCTCCCCTTCCCACCGCCATGTTGAAACTTGCGTGCGCGTTGGTGTATTCATGCGTTTGACTGTGTATTGCGAATGGGAATTCACCGCCTCCAGCCTTTGCCAGTAGTACAGAATCATGTGCGCAATTCGAAGAATTATGCTACAAATACTGTAGAGCACCACATGTTTGCGAGTGGGACTACTAGGATGGATAGAACTGGTTGTAGCAGGTGTGACGATGCCCCCATCATTCTTCAACTAACTCCGAACTTCATCACTTTTGAAAATTTCTAAGCTCGCTCTCTTCACATAAGGGATTCAACTTCGTTTTGGGGTAAGATGAGGGGTGGTAGATCAGGATCAAATTATATCCTCAGTTGTTACGCTGTTATTGGTCTACGTAAACATATGCAGTCTAATTGTGATGCACGCTACTTGTAGGGTGAACCTGGTCTGTAGAATTAAAATAACCATGTTGACATAGTTTTAGCACACCTCAAAAAATATTTTAGTGCGGATTCGGACGCCAACTTTCTTCAGACGAGAATGGTTCTCGGACTGGACCTGTTGAATAACAAACGCGTTGTAGATCACAAAAATCTATCCAGACACGGAACTAAGCAGAAATGAAGCTATGCAAAACAGTACTCATTTTGTAGACCACCACTGAATAATTGCATTCATTCTAGCACAGTGTATCAGATCCCACCTGAGTGCAAACGAATTATGAGATACCGTAGATGAGGAGTTAAACACTAGCTGAAAGGGCGCACACTGGCGGCCAGATAGCCACATCAATGACCCAAACAACTTACATCATCCCCGGGTCGGAAAACTCACATGGAAGAAAACCCTTGATCCCTTTCGCTGATTCATGGAAATTATTGATTTCAGGACCGTTGCAACACAGCTAAGCTAGCGAAGAAGCACACCACCGAGGAGGATAATTTGATTTCCAAACCACACCTACCTACCTTTAGCCGTTCGTTGGATCAAGCGCAGGTGCGTAGCATAAAAGGTTGTGCATGTTCTTTTCATGTTTTGTTTTGATGACATTCAATTTCAGCGGTATGGAGTTGTTCTATGTTTGAGAAACGTTACCGCTTGCAGTTAAACAGTGTAAAACTGTCCGCATAAGCCCTAATTGCACGTCACCGGTCAAATGACGGCAAATTCAAGCGCTTTAGAAGAAACTTCCGCCTGACGAAAGTTGTGTACACAGAGGCACTTCATCGTCCAGTATATTCCGGTTGCAACTAGAGCGTCCTAAATCTTCCGATTGGTTAAATGCTCACATACTTTGGGTACAGATTGTCGTATAGGCTAGTACTGGTCTACTTGGCGTGTACATCCGTGAACCTCTGGGAATTTGAGGAAGTGCTTAAACGGGAGATGTTGCTAGACAATGGGATAAGACATGGAATTCAGTCCAAGTGTTAGGCAGAAGACCGTGTTATTTTGCGAGGTTCATAAATTTTAGGGATTATTTTAACGGCTAGACAAAACGTTCAAGGATAAACGGTTGAAGCTGCGCAGGGCGTGAGTGTATAAGCCTTAGCCTCCAGAAATATTCTGTTGTTTTCACTGATTCACTTATTGATAAACCGTATTGGGGCCTCCGCCCAGCCTTCCGGGTCAGGTTTAATATTGCCGTTCAGTGGCTGACGTTCACCCTAAAGACGCAAGAGGATAACTAATGTGGCACTCCTACAAAGCAGTAATTTTATCAGCGCAAGGGCGCGCATAAAAAACGTCTAAATGTGCTTCAAAACGGGGTGCCAGATTCAGCGTAGTCCACGCAACAGCCACCCGAGAAGGGAAAATTGCATAATAAGTGTGTCCTCAGAGGCTAAGTATCTCACTAATTATTACAACAGATTTAATTCACGACTTGTGGGGGATAGGTTGATCGATGCATGCTCAGGTCGTTACAACTTAAACGCGGCAGTCAACAACACAACGGGGACGAGTATACAACCGACGAGACCCGCTTATTGCGTCAAACGTTACCGTAGTTGTGGAAACCCGAAAACTAGAACGGTGGGGCGTGACGTTCAACGATGATGCCGGTTGACTAGAACTAAAACTGAAAAATCGTTGCTGCCCATGAGTGACCTTGGGCAGTTGGGTGAATGGCCAGAGTCACTAAATGTGAAAGACAGACGAAGGCAGAGGAATTCGAGTTGGAGACAATGATAGCTTTCGTTTCAAAGATATGGTTTGCACTGAAACCGAGAAGACCCACTTTTGTAGTGAAGTCATGTGTAGAGGACACTTTTTAATTGGGGAGATAATGTTAATGCATAAGGCCGAACAAATCCCGTGAAGTAAATAATGAGTATAAGAGTGGGAAGCAAGACATAATTCCAGGAATGCAACACTTGTTCCGCACAACTCGCGTAGCAAAACATGATTTTTCGATTTTCTGAGCGTCGTTCATTCCATTCATCAAAGCACAAGATGCATAGATATTCGTGAACGGATTGATCTGAGCACTAACGGCGAGCAAACGGTTTTCACCAGGTTGTGAAGGTATACAATGATTTTTCATTATGTGCGCGCTATGAAACCACAATTTCCATCCCAATCAAACCCAGACGTCTCACCAGAATAAGAATAAATGAACGGACCTGAGGGCGATGAAATAGTTTACATGCTGTACGAGTTGAATTGTATGCCACGCAGTAGATCAAATGACAATTCATCTCTTTATAGCTCTGAGGCAGATGGGCTCTTAATGCCGAGAAGAATCTGACGAATGTCATCAGGCGCAGCCAAGGGGAACTCACTAAATAAAGAGGGGCAAATTCGATCGGAGTTGCATGTAATACCCTACATTCCTTGAAAGTGCCCA